TTTGTGGACAGTATTAAAAATAGATGGCAATCTGCTTATTGGGGTTGTCTCGCATATGAATGCTGATTATATGACAGTTAATACTAATACTAATGGTGTTCCCATTCTGTTAGTGCAAATGGGTTCCTGACGGTCACTGGAAGAAATCCAAAAGTTTTCTTCCTTTGAAAAAGAAGCTTCAGGAGGTCCCTTTCCTGGATGCTGGAATATTTTCTGTCCATGCTTGCTTTCTTCTTTGAACTTTCAGAGTATCTGTTTTGCTGCTTTCCATTAAATGTCCCACCATTGCACTGTCCCTTCCAGACAACTCACCCTTCACAATCTGGAAAAGAAGGAATTCGCCTCCTGATATCTTTTGTTGAAACCAACAAGGCTACACAAGGATTGTACTTCAAAAAGGAAGCCATTCACATATTCTGGAGATCTCTGGATAACTCAATAAGCAAAAGAACAACATCAAAAGAACCTATCTATGAAAAATTTCAATAGTATTGCCTTTAAAAGAATTTTCAGTGGAAGGTTCTCATTCAGCAAAGTGTTTAAGAGCTGGTAGGGGAAAAAAACAGCGGAATTTTTCTGCGTAGTACTGGAATTAGGAAGTCCATCATGGATCACTGTTTGCCTTCAGCACAAACTGAACCTCAATCCCTTACCAACTGGGGAATTCCCATGTGCTTTCTTATTGATGGCTTGGATTGCTTAGGCTACATATTGCTATTATCATACAGTAGATATAGTGTTATGAATGTTTAAGTATACAGACAAAAATGTTTGAAAAATTAAGATGCATAATTGTGTCTTCAGTTCTTCAAGAAACTGACAACAAGGTAAATATATTTAGGGAGGACAAAAATGGAATTGTCCCTACGTATGTAAGAGGGTAGACCACTGCTTTGAAGTGGAGTTCCTCCCTTTCATGGAGGTGCTTCATGTGATAGATAAACTTAGAAATTTAGGGAATCCACAAGTGTATGGAAAACCTCCAGAGACATTTGTGTTTTATGCATAGAGTAACTTCACTCTCTCTCAATTCAAGTTTATGCAGCAGTTACAGCTTTGTCAAAAAAAAAAAAAAAGTCAGATAGACCTTCTCCAGGATAAACTGCCCTTAACTGACCTTTCAGGTCTATAGTTTGTGTTCTTCTCTTTGTTTTCACTATTTCGTTCATTCATTCATTCATTCATTCATTCATTCATTCATTCATTCATTTAATATGGCTGCCCATCTCACAAACATTTGTGCATACAAAAAACTAAAAAAAAACAATCAACATACACAAAACAATTGTTAATGTGATTATTAAAAACTTCAAAATTGTAAAAAGCATAAAACTAAATGATATAAATAAAAATAATGGATGAGAAGCAGGTGTTAATAACAGTGAAGCCGCCTCAATATTATACCAGTTCTCTGGGATTCCCAAGCCTGATGGTACCACTAGGTCTTGAGGGACTTCAAGAAAGACAAAAGAGACAGCCTCAATTCGGGGATGGAATATTCCATAAAGCAGGTGCCACAGCAGAAAAGGGCTAGCACCTGTCAAGTGTATCTCCCTAATTGAAAGGGCCCACGGCATATAATTGGGGGAAAGTGATTACGAACAGACTGGTTACCAATGCAGCTTGTAGAGCAGAGGTGTTATGTGTGTTCTTCTAGAAACAGACATAATGCCCACACTATTGCATTTTCCATCAGCTGAAGTTTCTGGATACTCTTCAAGGGCAGATCCATATCCACCACATTACACTAATCCAATTGGGAAGTGACTAGGGCATGAGTGAATAAGACCCTCAATCTAGACACAACTGATGCACAATACAAAGTTGAGCAGAAGACCTACTAGCTACACCTGCAATCTGCTCTTCAAGTAGAAGTCATGTGTAGAAGGACATCCAGATTGCACATGGGATCTGTTTGGGGCAGTGCAGCCCCATCCAGCATTAAATTTGGCATCATCCTAGAACCAGCAGGTCCCCAAACACAAAGCACCTTCATCTTACTAGGATTGAAGCTTGTTGTTCCCCATTCAGACTCTCACAATCTCCAGGCACCAGGATAAGATATCCATAACATTGCTCAATTCGCCAGAGGCAAATATGTAAAACTGGGAATCATCAGCATATTGATAATACCTCATCCCAAGGAACAGATAACTTCACCCAATGTAGCTTCATGTAGATGTTGAGAGAGAACAGTGATCGTTTCAGCACTCCACATAGTAGGAACCAAAGACTGGATCTCTCCCAAACAATGACCACTGACCGGAATTGACCAGCACAACACTATATTCTCCCGATTCTCTGAGTTGATGCAGAAGGATACCAAGGTCAATAGTATCAAAAATCACCAAGAAACCAAATAGGGCAAGGATGGGTGCCAGAGATCATCCAAAAGTGCAACCCATGCCATTTCCATCTCATACCCATATCTCTCCTAGGATTGTAGACATTTCAAGAGAGCAGAGTCCAAAATATCATAATTTGACCCTGGTAGCTTGTGCCTTGAGTGAAAACTCTGAATTGATTTGCTATCCATGCTATTCATCATGGAGAAAGAAGGTGTATTAGATATGCTTGCCACCTTTAATTACTTATAAGTAATAAAGGCAGGATAACAGTCTAATAAATAAATACATTATCAGGAGTATTTTCTATCTCCTCCAAATATCATTATTGTTATTATTCTGCCTCTTCAAAGTTCAACTTTCACTTCCATAGATTATCACAGCAGGAAAAAAAACATTGCTAGCACAGATGTGATCTTTGTAGGTACATGCCACAATATCTGAATATCTTTTGCATGTCCTTCATTGTTACTCTGCAGTGCTAATCTGTGGCATATTTCTTGAGTGCTGGTTCCTTTACCGTTGAGTAAAAGAGTGCTAGCTATCACTTAAATATCTTCACTGTGAATTCAAATAGAGGTACATTTCATTAATGTTGTGTTATTTCTATTTAATTTTAGTTCCAGTTTTTCACTGTGCTCTTTGACTTTCATTATTAGAGCTTGAAAATCCTTTGCATTTTTGGTTACCAAAACAGTGTCATCAAGATAGTGCAGGTTAATGATATTTTTTCCTCCAGTTTTAAAATTCACACTCTTCATCCAATCCCATCCTCTCTAAATAGGGTGATTGATTGATTGAATGAATAAAGAAAGCATATAGTAGGTTCAATTGATTGTGGATTGTGGTTTCTTAACCTGTGTATAGGTATTGCATGTGGACAATAATGTTTAAATTTTATATGTCAATACAATCAAAAGCTTTCTATATATAATGAAATAAAATTTAACTTCAGGAAGGTTTTATGAATAGGAAGTTGATTCTTTTTCTTTTATTTGCTTTTAGTCAAATAGTGTACCACAAATAAGGAAGATATATCCAGAAATATTTGTGTGTTGTGTATGTGTATGTGCGCATGCACACATGCAGGAAAAGAAAAATATCCTTGGACTAGTCTTCAATGGATTTACTAGCTAGCTTGTCAGGCTGAGTTTAAATAAATATTAGCGTCATTAATCAGTATTTAAGATTATTTTTCTACACATAAAACATTGATTTACTGACTATGACAAAGCAGAGATTGCTAGGAAAAAGATCTACCCCAACTAGAACTATTCACTATTATAGTTTCTTATGTTTATTTTAGGGTAAAATAGTTTCTTTTATTAAAAATATCTGAATTATAAATGTATTATTTTTCATTTTCTCCTTCTGCCCATCTCCCATTCAGCTGAGATTTCTAGTATTATCTTAGTGTGCTATCCCAGCTATACTTCTCATTACTTCTATATATTTATCTTCAGACTCAGGCTTCCTGCATATTTAATAACTACTGGACAAGAATTCGTTCTTCATGTCAAGGAATTGGATTATCATCCCATTACAGGCAAAGGCTTGTGAAACCAAGACACTTAACTTTTGACCTTTGTGGAAAAGATCATTTAATTTAACCACCCAGATGAATCAGGAGAAAGAGAAGAAAGAAAAAGACAGACAGAGAGACAGACACACACACACACAAAGATTTCCTATTTATGTGTTAGAGATTTTCTGTTGGTACTACTCTAATAATTCAACAATTATCAAATCAAATGTTATTCTCTAGGCAAAACTATAAAGGGTTATGTATTCAGATTAGGTTAGTTACATTTGACTACAATATTTCTAGATTTTTTTAGAAAACCAAAGGTGTCTTGCTGAACAAAAAAAGATATTACTAATCTAGACAGGGTTGTACCTCTGTACTATTTATCTATTCAATAAAAATGGCAGTTTCTGAACTCTCTTGAAAGACAGTTCCATATAGATTGCCTCAGAGTAATTCATCTAAATCTGTTTCTTAAGAATACAACTTCTCATAATAGATACTATAAACAATGTCATCTTGACTAACTCTGCACTCATACTAACTCTGATTATCTACTGAACTTTGAGTTAGGCTTCCTCCATTCAATTGCTATGGCAAAATGCCAATTTGCCTTACCTGAAAAGCTGTATATTATTGTTTATGTAGGTAGTCAATTTTTCTTTTGACCATATAAAAGAAAACCATTTGTGTTCTTGCTAAACATTAAATAATATTTAAGTTAATTTTGATATAGAAGAATAAATACTATATTTGTAGTCTGGAAGATTTTTAGATCAAACTCCCCCTTTTTTTTATTTAAATACAGTATGAGGTCTTTAGGTAATTCCCTCTTTCACATACAATGTTTTGTAGAAGAGAAGTTGAAATAATATATTTTAGGATTATTCCAGCATCCAGTGGATCTTGCTTATTTTCAGCTGCCAGAAAGGCTTTTGAAAATGTTTTGGTTGAGTGTGTGGGATCTTACATATTCCATATCTGCAATTACTTCCAATCCTGCTGTATTTTCTGTTACTTTATTTATTTCTTACTTGCTGCTCCAAGTATGTCTGTCTCTTAGCAGTTTACAGGTTTTCAGTAATAAGATTAAAAGCTAAAAATCCCAATAATCTGGTGTTGCAATTTACCCAGGTGGTAAGGAATATTGTATACTCAATCACATCCAGGAGAAACAGAAAAATCCTCAGGTTCCAAAGATCTGATGAAACAATTAATACATTATCACACATAATAGTGCATTTACAATAGCTAACATCAAGCTAATAGAGCCACAACCCATCTGATTTTGCGGCAACTGAGAAGGCCCAACCTGCGACATCTGCAGACAACACTTTCTAAGGTTCAGGCCCCAAAGGGAGCTGTGCCACCGTTCTGTCACCCCAGAACAGCAATTTGCCTAAAATGTCATCCAGTTCTGCCAAGATTTTTTTTAAGAATCTTCCTTGCTTTGTTTTGCTTTTTAATTAAGAGTACCTATGAAGAAAATCCTTTCATCTATTCATCTGAAATGTGGCATGCTTCATCATTTATATAAAAAAAGATCTTCTATACCTTTAGGTTTCACCCAATTCATTTTGTTTTATACTACTCTAAAATTGTTTTATGACCACTGAGGAAAAGGTATCCTCTTTTAGTTCCATTTTGACCTAATAAGCTGGCCTTTTTCTCTCCTTTGGTCTAATATTTCCTTCAGCATCTAATTAAATTTGTATTTGACATCAGTGTTTGACTTCATAATTCCACTCGGACATGATACATCTGGAAGCTTAGCAGATCGCATAAATCATTTCTGAAGTCTGAAATACAGTTCATGTCATAGGCTGAAGCAATAGTTAGAAACATGATAAAAATTCCATTGGGTATGTCATTATTTGAATGTATTCAAGCTTTATCTTAGTTTCAGAACTGAGTATCAATTTTAGATACAATTATTTCTAATGGCAGTCTATCTGCAATGGTTGGGATTTGTCCCAAAGCTGATGGATAGATACACTTTAAATTATTTCCATTTATAAACAACTAATAATTGTTAAATATAAAAGATTAAATAATAGGATGTTGTAGTTAAATTTAAGCTTTAATAAATAACTATGATATAGAAGCACATCTAATGTTGATCTCACTAGATACAGAATTCTATAGGGTGAAGTCTCTTTGGAAAAAGTGAAGATTATTTATGCAGTGTTCCCCAGATGTAGTGGTACATGCCATGCCAATTGAGAATTCTGGGAACTATAGTCTTAACATATCTGAGGAGTTCCAGGCCGAGGAAGTCTGATTTCTTTAGACTAGAAATAAGTATAAACAATTTTAATAATTTATTATCTTCTCTTAAAATACAGCAAAAGATCTCTTCCCATATCACATATCTTATCTGTAAACAAATCCATACAGCCTTGTCCATTTCAGTCAGCAAAAGTTCATTAGGTGTTATCATAAATAACAATATATTTAATATTGATCAAATAAACCAATTTTATATACCCTCCTTTTATAACTAACAATCTTAATTTTTAATCCATTCAAATAATGTCATAGAACCTGATATCTTTTCATTTTTCTTTGTCTTTCCTCACTAGATTCCTCAAAAGTTTTGTAAATTTTGTAAATCCAATGTAGGAAAATTATCCAGGTCACTTCTCTCAGTTTATTATCTCTGTATCCTTTTTACTTATAAAAATATCAATGGGGTTGTTTTGTATGTCCAGTGAAGCATCTTTTTCCATGCCATTCTTATAGCCTGTCATTTGTAAATCCATTTTTAATTCAGTCTCGATCTTCTTAGGTAAAACTTGTTCTTCTATAATATCTTTGAGCAAAAATATCCTTTAGTGTTAGAATATTTTGCTTTATTCTGTAATTGTAAGTCAAGTTTATGTGTTCTTTCCTTTAATTGTAATCTATAGTTCCATCTAGTGTCCAGTTTTTAAAACCTTATCTTATTTATTTATTTTTTATATCAAAACAAAAGCATTTTGCCATGGGACGTATTCTTTATAATTAATTGCAAAATCTTATTTCAAATTTATCTGGGCCCTTTGTCCATTTGTAACTTTCTAAAATCAAAGTTTTAATCATCATTTTGCTGTTTATTCCCCCCCACACACACACACATCTTTTAAAGTTTTTAAATTTGTAATTAGAACTTTCACTAAGGATTGAACAAAATCCATCTAGTGCCATCAAACTGTCATCCAAAGCACTCTAATAGCTGAAAAGCAATTAACAAATTATTTCCAAAAGTAATTAGAAAAGAAAGCTTGCAAACTTAGTAGTCTTGCAAAGGTGTCAACCAAAGTTTGAGCAAGCTGGCTGTTCCCTCAACTTCTAGAACTCTAAACTCACTAGAGACCATTATTTTATAGCCTCCTTGTGAGGAACAGCTATCTGGAGAACTTCTAGGCAATCTCAGTTCCTCCCCTTGTCTGGAGTGGTTTTGAAGAGCTGGTCTACTTACCAAACCTTCATCCTGCCATGGTCCTCAACTCCACATTTATCAGAGCCATCATCGTCGTCTTCTTTTCTTCCTCTGGAAGTTGTCACCTATCCTGTTAAGATTCCAGAAATTAGTCAAAACCAAACTATCCTGGAGACCTTTTGTAGAATGATTGGTTTGGAGCAACCTACAGGTCTGAATTATTTTTATTGTTATAGTGTTATGAATTTTGGGTTTTGTTGTGTTGATGACCTTAACAAACAAGTAAATTTGATCATAGGGATTCTGAGTATTCACCATTATTATTATTATCTGTATGACTGCCTTTCCCTTGATAAACCTGTCTATTAGTCAAATCAATAAAAGAGACCTTTTTGAAGATGGCCCCACTATTAGGAGCTCAGCTAACAATACACAGGAGAAGGCTTCTTCACTATAGATCCCAGAATACAGAATGTATTCCCTACTACTTACAGAGATTGTACAATCATATTTTTCACAACCCTTTAATTGTTACGTATTCTAATTCTGATTTTAATTTTTATTTCCATTTTAATTGAATTCTGTTATATTTTTATTGCTGCTTTGAGCATTGGTGTAAATAGAAAGGCAAAGCATACATCCAATGATAAATTAAAAAATTAAAAGGATACTTTCCACAATAATAATGTCTATAGATCTTTCATATTTTCTTCCCCATATTAATTGCCAAAAGTATAATGATTTATAACTACCATGAACATCATTATTAATTTTCCTGTTGATTATACCTATGGGGTAGCAACAAATTTACTCCAGCTGGAATTGCCTTTGAAATGCTATGAAAATGTCCATAAGATAATAGCAACTAATTGTTACTTTAATCAACTTATGCTTAAAAATAATTTAATATAGGGCAGTTATGTCTTGTGGGGAAACTTGTTTAAAATATACTTATGAGAACAATCATACCTTTCTTGCTCAGCATTGTACTGGGAAATCAGATTCTGAAATTAGGCTGGAAAATTTTTCTTTTCTTTTATAAAAAATGAGTCAATAAATTCTGTATTCTAAAGTTTTTTTAAGAATTAGAAATAGAGAAAATTGGCCAGGAATTGTCAGATTCTTTTGATCTCCAGATAACTGCTGAACAATGTTACTGAGGTCTAACAGTCTGTGAGATAGTAAGTAAAATCAAGGGGTGTCAGAGTCAACACTGTAAAATTGTTCAGTGGCAACTGCTGAAGTAAATATATGAAGTAAATAGATACCTGAAAAGTAGAAAGGGGAATTACAGTTTATCATCAGGTGTTGTATGGTAGCTATGCAGGAGGGAATGGGACAACTTGCCATGACCAACTTGCCACGGCCAATTCACAACAGCCATGGCCAATTCACAACAACCAACTCGCCACGGGACAACTAGCTGTGGGACAATTTAAAAATTTAATTTAATTATTTAAAATAAATAAAAAAATATTTTAATTTTTATCATTCACATTTCATTGTGTCCCTCCTTTTTCATTCAATCTTTAATGATTCTATTCCACTATTTTTTTTTTATATTTGTGTAACTCGTTTCCTTCAGCGAGTTGACCGGTGGCGAGTTGACCGTAATGAGTTGACCATGGCAAGTTGGCCATGGTGAATTGTCATAGACTCATGCAGGAAGCTTGTCATCAACAGAGGGAGAGAAATGTGGAGTCATCAACTAGTCAGTCTCAAAGCTGCTAGTGATGAACCAGCTATCTTCTACTTTGGGATCACAGTCCCACTAGGAATCTATGAATCCATCCATATTTGATCTGTGTCAGTCTGACTTCTACTTTATTACTTAGTCCCATCACATTTTCTGCCAAATAAAAATAAGGAGGAAAAACTTTCCTTATTCACAAATCCCATATTGTAAAGACAGTGGCCAAGTATTGTTAGGTAAAGAGGATAGCAAAATTTTACCTTAGAAGACACTTTTTCAGTAATTTTACAGATACATCTTCGTTGATGGTGAAATTCAATTTGATTTGTTTATTGTTGTTTATAAAACAATTGGGAATTTTGGGGTGAAAGCCAAAGTTGTTTTTATGGGGCAGACCTTTCTCAAAGGGCTTCCACACATTGCTATCTTTAGCTTATCATTTTTTTTTCAACTCTGGGCATATTCATTAGTACCTTGTTGGCTTCACTGATTGCTGTTAAATACGGCTAACTTATGATGATTCTTGCAACAAGCACACCTGTTATACGATAACCATCTCTAATCGAGCATTCTCCAAATGTGTTTAGGCAACAGCTCCGAGGATTTCCACCAAGCATGCCCAATCCCCACCATTTTCCCAAAGTCCAAGAAAGCCACCCTCCATCGACACTTCTGATCTCAACAAACTCATAGTACTTCAAAGAGCTTTATAAATACTGAACAGTAAAGTAAAAACATGGGTATGAACAACATGCTATTCTTAAAGGGTAACAAGCAAAAGGCCACAATATATTAAATACCTGATATTACATGCTTTAGGGGCACATTTCCCCACAAATAATGATGAGAAATATTAATTATTTATGGGTGATTTGCATAACTGCATAATGCATCTCTCTATAAATAACAGATTATTTGCATAACAGCATAATGCCACTAATCATGAAAAAGAGCACAAAATAAATTCATATTTCTAAGCATTTGATCATATCAGGTCATACATGCTCTGCCTGTTTGTTCTTAGCCTGTCCCATTGTAGCTGAGATTCTATACAGTGCCCACCGCTCCTGCCTTATGGTTATAACTCAGTGGTGAAATACATGCCTTCCCTGCAATGGGTTCTATCATTATAGTTTCCTCAAGAAAGTGTATTTTTCTACCAAATCACCTGTCCTCTGGGATATCTCCCTTCCTGAGGCTGGGTTGGTCCCAACCCTGCTGGCCTTTCAGCAGTCCTTGAAGACCTGGGTTTTTTTGTCCAGGCCTGGAGTCCCAAGAGTGTGAAGGGCTTCCTTTCCTGAATATGCTGACCTTGTCAAATTACAATATCTTTAATTGCTACTTGTATTTAATTTATTTTTGCACAATTGTTTTTATGATTGTTTGCAGCCCAGAGTCACTGGTTTGAGATGGAAGGCTATACAAATTGAATGAATGAATGAATGAATGAATGAATGAATGAATGAGAGAAAGAGAGAAAGAGAAAATGAGAGAGAGAATGAGAGAGAGAGAATAGGACAGAATTCTGCCTAAAAGACAGATAAAGTGTACTGCTTTCACAGATTTGGATTAGCTGGATGAATGTTCTAACTTGATGTAAAGGAATGTCCTAACGCTGTCTTTTCAAATTGTTCTGTGTCTCGAGCTCCAGAAAATGTGCATAATAGTTTCCTCCAGAATAAAAATCCTCTTTTTCCTTAATCCAGTTATCCATTTTCAAATCTATTGATTATAGCAGAATAGGCTGGGTTCCCCCCACCCCCCATAATGCATGAATGCATTTAGGCTTTCTCACACTCAATTATTTATATACAATTAAATTTGATTTAACCTTACTTCCAGGAAATCCTGTGTTGGATTCCAGATATAGGATCACTTATTCTTGTAATCTGTTTAGTAATTTTAATAATCAAACATGTCTCCATACGGCATATATTGCAATAATGAAACTGGAAGAAAGAAGCTGTATGGATGACTGGTAACTAATGACCAGAACAGTTTTTGTCATCTAGAGAAGCAAAAGGAGCAATTCCTGTCCTTTTCGTGGATCTTCTTTTTCAAGGTTGTGTTTTCCTCTACCCCTTGGCTGCCTAGGTCAGCATTTCTCAACCCTGAAGAATGGACGTCAATTCCCAGAATTCCCCAGCCTTAGAAAATCTTATAAATTGCCAAGGATAAGAAACACTAGTCTAGATTGTGTCTGTGCACTTTAAAATTTGCTACAGTACTTGATGAAGTATGGGTAGGACATAATAACAGGCCACCTGCACTGATAATTTATTCACTTGTCCTAGTGTGGGGAAACAGCTATCTTGATTAGGAGTGCTGGAGGGTAGTAATATTACATATACACGCAGAGAGAAAATGCTAATGCAGCTGATACCACTGTTTCCCATTGTTAATAGCTATAGGGAAAGAGAAGCCCTATTAAGAATAGCTTTAAAAGAAATTTACCCCAAAAAAAGTTTTAATCTTTTCTCCTTCCAATGACCCTACTTCTATATTGCACCATTTTCTGTGAGCATGCACATAACTGGGTTGGTACAGCAACCAAACAGGACAGGCATAGACTTCAACAGATAGTTAGGACAGCAGAAAAAACAATTGCAATCAGCCTGCCTTCCATTGAGGTTCTGTATACTGCAAAGAGGGCAGAAAGAGGGCTGAGAAAATATCTATAGACCCTCACATCCTGGATATAAACTGTTTCAACTCCTCCCCTCAGGAAGCCATGATAGGGCATTGCATGCCAAAACAACTAGACACAAAGACACTTTTTTTCCCCCTTGTGCCATCACTCTGATGCCTATTTACCACACTACTATCTTATCCCTAAGAATATTTACCCATGTAGTAGGGCTATATTACTATTATCCTAGTCATCTTTTCTATTACCTTCTCTTATTGGTATCTTATTATTATATCACCTTATTTTTTGTATGTACACTGAGAGATTATTATTATTATTATTATTATTTAGACTTCTATACCGCTTCATAGTGCTTTACAGCCCTCTCTAAGCGGTTTACAAAGTTAGCATATAGCATATTGCATATTAGCATATTGCATTAGCATTAGCATATTTTCCCCAACAATCTGGGTCCTCATTTTACCCACCTCGGAAGGATGGAAGGCTGAGTCAACCTTGAGCCGGTGAGATTTGATCTGCTGAACTAGCAGTCAGCTGAAGTAGCTGCAGTACTGCACTCTAATCACTGCACCACCTCGGCTCCTGACCAGATTATGATTCCTTGTGTGTCCAATCTCTCTTGGCCAATAAAGTGTTCTGTTCTGTTCTATATATATGTCCATATGTGCAGCCCTGACCCACCATTTGATGCTATCTTCACAATACATGAATGTATGCATTGGATAAGAGAGGTGAAAAATCAAATAATGGCATAATGGAAAGAAGGAAAGAAGGAAGGAAGAAGCAT